AGAAAAGGACACAGGATATCCCAACTGTACTAGTTCTGTTTTATTTCTTATAGAGAAAAAAAAATAATTCTTAAGCAAACATGTCATGTGAATATTTGATAAAATAGGCAAAGACATACATACATGGTTTGTTATATTATTCTCTACTCTTGTCTACATGCTTTAATATTTTACAATACCAATATTTTAAATTAATGTACAAAAAACAATATCTGCAGTTCATTAGTGAGTGGGTATTATAGACATTGTGTGTGGTTTTCAGCAAAGCCTCCAGAAAAAAAAAGCTCTCTCATGGTATCCTTGTGGACAAGTCAGAGAACTGGTCATTTAATGTGAGTGCAGTCAGACTTGCAACTAGATAAACAATGTGTACTCATACTCTTCACTACTTCCTTTCAAGGTAAAGGGTATTTGTCAAGGAGTGCTCAGGGCTGTGGGTTTGAGCTATCCTAGCCTGATATTTTTTGCCAATTATTGGATGAAGACATAAAATTACAGCTGGGACAAAACTTAGAAGAGAATCATGATTCAAAATTATCTCAACAGACTGAGACCCTGGGCTTGAATCCAAGAAAAGGAATTATAAAAAGAAAAATTATCAAACCCTACCTTTACATTCGTATTTTAAAATATACTGTAAAGGTACTGGGTGGGTTCATCTTGGTTTAGCTGCTCTCAGTATAAAACAGGAACTGGGAGAATTTACTGAACCATCCATTAATATAAACCACTGTGTGATTTAGCTCCTCCAAAAGCTACATTTGGGCACATAAATAAAATCAGAGTTCAGACTAAAGCAAAACAAAAAAAGAAAAGAAAAGAAAACATAACCCCACTGCTAACAGCTCTTGTCCAAATAAGTCTGCAAAATCACATATAATTATGAATGTCATGTTTTAAGAAAAAAAGTGGCAAGTCAGATTGTATCTCAACTAGTGACCTTGATGGCTTCAAAGCATGTCATTAGAGAAATGACTGAAGGATTTGGAGAATGGAAAAGAAAAAGGACACAGGATAGTTGTGAATATTTGGAGATCTCCCATATGGTAAGAGGGAGTAGATCTGTATATTGCTTTAGTGAGAAAAATCAAGTATAACCATCAGACTGAAGATTAAAGGAGGCTGATTTCCATATAATATAAATGAAAATGCTCTACTTAGTTTGGTCTACTTGGTGGAATACTATCATGAAAGGGATTTGTTGTTTTATCCCCCAACCTCCTATTAACTGTGGAAATAATGTGAAAGAGTGACAGTGTCCCAGTCTGAGACTAGATCACCCACAAAGGCTCTGCAGCTCTGCATGCTTTGACTTTCTCAGAGCCCTGCCACCACAAGGCTAACAGGCTCAGGAGTAGAGACCACATGGAAGTGAGCCAAGTGCAACTGCCCTGGGCAAGTCATTCCCAACTGACTCACAGGCTAATAAGCAAGCTCAGTCAAGATCAGTATAGCCTGACCCACCAGACCAGAACTTCCCGATTGACCTGTAGACTACTGAACAACAATAAATGCTTATTGTTTAAACCACTAAGTCTTGGGTAGTCTGTTACTCAAAAGAGCTAGCTGACACAGTGGCAACTTCTTGTCACTGTTCCAGGGATATGGCAATACAATCACTACTCACCCCAGGCTATTGCCTCAAAATTCCCTCCTTCAGAAATCTACAAATAAGAAGCAGGCTTCAGTCTCTATGCTCATGGGTGCTCCTAAACTCCAGAGTACACATAACAAGCTATCTCTGAAGGAGTAAGCCTATGGGTTCTCAGCTTAGAAGGCAGGGGCTGAAGGACTTGGCTACCCATGTTATGAGTAACTTTCATATTTTTTTCTTTATTGATATTAGAGAGAGAGAGAGAGAGAGAGAGAGAAAGGGAGGAGAGAGAGATAGAAACATTGATGAGAGAGAATATTGATTGGCTGCCTCCTGCATGCCCCCCACTGGGGATCAGGCCTACAACCTGGGCATGTAACCTGACTGGGAATCAAACCTGCAACCTCTTAGTGCACGGGTCAATGTTCAACCACTGAGCCACACTGGCTGGGCAGTACCTTTCATCTTGAAACCCCACTTTAGGTGCCCTGTGGGAGGGAAGGGAGTGGCCTCTCACCATGAATAGTATGTTATAGAAGTCCCTATTCTCTCACCTCTTGTTCCCAGGTATTTCCTTATAGAATCTGAGGGTGGGGAATATAGGAATCTGATTGTGGTAGGGCTGCTTTATAACTCGTAAAATCCTGAAAAAAGAAATCTGGTCAATGCTTAGTGTTTTGTTTTTTTTTTTTTTCCCCTGAATGCAGTGTATCTAGCACTTGGACCTGATATCACTTCTGGGAAAAAAGGAAAAGTACCACTTAACTTATTATATAAGGAAGAATATTCTGGCAAGCATTTTATCAATGGAACAGTGCCTTTTGAGAACTGAGAGCTCCATTGCGAAACACAGTCAAGCAGAGACTGATAAATCACCTTTTGGAGACACCAAAAATGAGGTTTCTACATTAAATGCAAAGTCAGACATGACCTCTTAGATCTCTTCCACCTCTTAGCATTCTACAACTCCCTGATAAGCACTGCTGGCTAAAAGACCAATGGAACTTCAGGGACATCAACGTTGCCATTGTGAGCAGCTGAAACAATGCCAGCAAAGACTGCCTCCCTCCAATTTCTTGTTAGATAAGCAAAATAAACCCTGGGTGTTTAACCCTGCAGTCAAGTGTTTGTCCCTTGCAACAAATGCATCCCTAATCACATGATGGACACTATCAATATTTCAATTATAACTGCCCTTCTCCTTCCTGGTGAGGAATTACTTCTCCAGATATGTTAAGGAGGTGATTGGGGTTAGTCAAGACCTGCAAAAATGGCAGCCATCTGAATTTTTAAGAAGACCATGCCTATTTCCTTTATCCATATATATTTGATTTATTGTTTAACTCTCAGGGGGCTTATATTTTTCTAAGTCTTTTGGGGGCATCTCACAGATATTTTTTGTGACACCAACATTTACAAGATAGGTTTCATTTTACTGAAAAAAATACAAAAACAACAGTGTTCAATTGGAACCATGGGCCGTTACTTGCTGGCTTCGGAACTCTAAGACAATCTTCATTTTCAAAAACTTGAGAAAAGATTGTGTCTACTTGTAAAAATCAAACAGACTATAACCACATCTGCTCTCTCCTTGTGTACTTGCCTGCAACATGGAGAAACAATGAACTGGGAAAAGAGTATAGTGGCATACACAGGACTCACCTTGCTCAATACCCATTCCAGTTATAAGTTCTTAGAGAGCAAAGATGCTGTGGTACTTTTTGAGCACCTACTATCTACTTGTGGCTGTGAAAGGTATTTTCACATAAATGTTAATCCACCAAGGTTCAAGATCTCAGCTTAAGGTCCTGATATATCTTAAGAATCATAGTCACTCTGAGGTAACCTGCATGAGGTAGACAACTGTGACGTGCAAATACCCGGTGACCCAGCCATAAATTAAGACATTTGATCATTCAGCTTGGAATATAGGCAGAACGAGGATAATACTAAGGGAAGTGAAATTAATTAGAGTGATTTATTTTTAAAATTCTAATTTCAGTATTATCTTCAATACGTATTTTTCAACTTAAGGCTTTTAAGTAATTTTTGCTTATCTATACAGTAAAACTTATCAGAATATCTAGTTTCATATACTCATAATATTGTTTGAAAGGGGCTATCTCCTCAAATGAAGGTTTTTCACTGTGTCCATTCATGTGGAGGTTTTTTTTTTACTTTTCGTTGTTTGTTTTTTTTACAATCTGGCTTAAACAAAATCTTCCCTTAATTTGTCAATGTGAAAGTAGTCCAAGGGTTAGAGAACTGTTCATTTAAAAAATGAGATACTGCCCTGACCTGTTTGGCTCAGCAGTTAGAGCGTCGGCCTGCAAACTGAAGGTTAGTGGTTTTGATTCCAGGTCAAGGGCACGAACCTACTTGGGTTACAGGTTCAATTCCCGGCCCTGGTCGGGGTTGTGTGGGAGGCAACCAATCTATATGTCTCTCTCACATCGATGTTTCTCTCTCTCTCTCCCTCCCTCCCTTCTACTCTATCTAAAGACCAATGGAAAAATATCCTCAGGTGAGGATTGATTGATTGATTGAATACATAAATAAATAAATAAATAAATAAATAAATAAATAAATAAATAAATAAAAGCTGAGACACTATTTGAACTGCAAGAAGACAGGAGAGTGTTCTTGTCTCCATCATTTACCACCAAAAAGCTGTTAACAACCAACTGTCTCAGCTGGTTTACAATTACCACTGAAAGACAGAGGCAAAATACAGAGGGCTGGCCTCTGGCAGCTGTATTTTTAGCCTACAGCAAGTTGTATTTTTCAAAATGGTCACTGCAGTGAACTTCCAGAACTCTATGCTTTCCCAACAAGAGTCAGTTTCTTTCCTTCCTCTTCCCTTGAACTTCAGCAGAATTGCTAACTGCTTCAACAAAGAAAATACAGCAGAAATTATGCCACATGACTTCCAAGGCTGGATCACAAAAGGTGATACTCTTCAGCCTGATCCTCCCTCCCTCTTAGGACACTGACCCTTGAAAACAGTAACCATGCTATGAAGAAACCCAAACCAGCCCAAATAGAGAGATGAAATGGAAAAGATCTGAGACCACCATTAATAGCCAGCATCAACAATAAGAAACATGAGTGAATGGGCCTCCAATGGATTCCAGCCTCCCATCTCTGGGCTGCCCCAGCTGATGCACAGCAGACCATAGGTGAGCTTTTCTGAGCCCTGCCCAAACTGCAGATTCATAAGTAAACATTGTTATTGTTTTAACTCACTTAAGATTTGAGTTTCGTAACTGGAATGCAAACTAAGGACTAAATGCACATATGAAGGAATTTCACTTAAAATGAAATAAACTTTATATTTTGCTCCCCATGTTGATCCCCAAATTCAGGCAGAGATAAAAAAAATATATACACATATATATATACATACATCTTCCGACAGTGATGTCCTGCTGCAAGGTGCTTATATATAGCTGCAGGGTCAGCTGTGGGGCTGAGCCCAGGAAAGCCTGGATCACCGATGCCCGGCTGAATGCAGATCGGTGGGTGAACATCTTGCCCTCTGCCTGGCCCACTTCCTTCTCAATTTCCTCTGAGAAGCCATTTTTTGGCATCTGTCGCTTCTTGGTGATGCTGACATATGGCTCTTCGATGTGGCCTGACTGACAATAGATGCATAAGACTTCAAAACACCTGGAAACAAATCAGCAAGTAATGATAATCAGGCAGACAGGATTCTCTTTTCTGTTACCCTGCTTACACTTAACCTGATTCTCAAAGCCTTGACCTGATTACTCTGGACTGTAGTTCCTCCTCTAAAATCATCCACACCAAGGGTCAGTTCTGAGCATGCAATCATCTTGAGTCCCTCCAGCAGGCCAACTTGGACTGAATGAGAACAAAATTGAAAGGTGACATCAAAGCCCACTGAGGCAAGAAAACCAAGTAGAGCCACAGAAAAAGATTCAATTTGCCTTCCTGACACCTATTAGCTGTGCAGTCCTGGGTAAGTCTTTTAGCCCTTGAGCCAGTTCCCTAAATTATAAAGCAAAGATAAAACCTACTTTGCCACATTGTTATGGAGATAATATAGAATATATGTCCATACACACACACACACACACACACACACACACGCATACACACACAGATATCTATATTCTCTATTTCTTTTCTTTTCCACATGCAAGAGATACCCCAAATCTCCTCAGTTAAAGCAGCAACTATGGTTGAGAGATCCCCCCAGCACAGAGCAGTTTGCCATTTAGTGTTACCCTGGAAGACCACAATATATTTCTTATCTCTCTGCTCTCATAAGCCCTTACAGGACATGATTAAAGCCAATCATGCCTGGAGGCCTGCTAACTATGTATTCTTTATGGAATTTCAAGCCTACCCTGAGGATGGAGCTGTAACCAGTCACCTTTCTCCACTGACATAGTGCCTGGATTTTAAAATTTGATTTACTGTCTAGGTAATGATATAGATACTGAAGGGAGGAAGAGTACTGATGTGTCTGATTTACTTTGAAATATACACACACACACAAGGGATGGATAGATGTGTGAAATAAAATGTTAATTATAGAATCTAGGTGGTTAGTACTTGAATGTTCACCATACGATTCTTTCAAGTTGTTTTCTGTATGCTCAAAAATTTTGCTGTCAGAGGGGTGGGAGTTTGGGGAGCTGAATGAAAGTAGGTGAAGGTTCTGTAATATATATATATCACAAAAACAGACAACAGTGTGATGACAGCCAGAGGAAAAGGGGGTTGGGGGTAGGTGGAGGTAGGCAAAATGGGGGAAATCAGGAAATAGGGATGGAAAGAGACTTTGCTTGGGGTGATGGGAGCACAATGCAGTGTGGAGATGATGTTTTATGGAATTGTACACTTGTAACCTGTATGGTTTTGCAAACCAATGTCACCCCGATAAATTTAATAAAAATTTCTTTCATCATAAAATGCTGGGGAAATTGAGTGTTTCCTAGGAATAAGAAAAATGCTCATGGTCTTAACTTTAAAATTATTAAAGGACATTTTCCCCTAAACATGCATTTTTATAACAACCTTATAATGCTGCTGGAAGTTTTTATGGCTTCACTTATTTTATTGAATGTTGTTAACTTTGTACTTTCACCCTGAGGCAACTATGGCAATAAGAATACATTCACGATTTGAAATAATAAAACTTGATGTAAGAGAAGAAATGCAGGAACCTCTCTGGTGAGTACAAAGTGGACATACTTTGTGTTATCACCTTTGTTCATCTGTTCCTGGGAGAAAGAAGGTACAGGGCAATCTCTCTCTTTCTCTCTCTCTCCCTCCCTCCCTCCCTCCCTCCCTCCCTCCCTCCCTCCCTCTGTGTGTGTGTGTGGGAGGGGGTGCTTTGTCTGCTATAGTTTGTCCAATGGGGTCACAGACATGTTAACATATTACATAAAAACATGTAAAACAGCCTGGACAAATTTGTTCACCTGAAAATAATGAAGTTCAGGTTATGAATTCAAGACCAGTGGAAGTAACTGAATTCATTCTGAGGAAAAACTCTAATCTATGACTGAGGACTATTTGATGCCTAGCAACTTCACACTGTTGGACCACTGACTACAACAAGGGCTGATCGTCTTTATTCTCAAATATGTAATGAATGGAGATGCAATTTGCTATGTGCTGTGAGGAATGCAAAGACAACTGGATATCCTCATTCAGAGGTGATCATAATCTAATGGGAAAATGGGACATATACATGATAATAATAGTAAATATAACTAATATATATAGAACTTTCAGCTTATAAAATATTTCTCATATATTAATTCACTTTGAAAGAAAGCCTACTGCAAGAATGAAAAAAAAAATTTTATTGATTTTTTTTTTTTACAGAGAGAGGGAGAGACAGAAACATCCATAAGAGAGAACACTGACTGGCTGTCTCCTGCATGCCCCCCACTGGGGATCTGGACCACAACCTGGGCATGTGCCCTGACTGGAATTGAACCAGCAACCTCTTGGTGCGTGGGGCGATACTCAACCACTGAGCCATGCTGGCTAGGCAAATAATGTTAATCATAGATTATTTATAATAGCAAAATTCTGAAGATACTCTAAAGATCCCAGAATAAAACGATGATTAAATAAGTTATAATACAGTCATCCATCGCTTATCGAAGTTACTCCATTCCAGACTCTAGCGGTTGCATCTGGCGTTGAAGGATTCCTGGGCTGCTTGAATACATAGGCCTACAGTCCATACATGCAGTAATTTTAATTTTAATTGTAATACAGGTGTATATAATTGACTCAGACAACTGAGCATGCTGTATCGTTTTCACTGTCTTGATGAACTTAATGAATATATTTGAAAAAAAACTGCGATAGAGTGAAGCCGCAAAAGTCGAATCGTGAAGTGGTGAGGGGCGACTGTATATATATTCAATGAAATATTATCCAGTCCTTAAATTTGACAGTATAGACATATATCTATTGATATATAAAAATGTTTGCTATATTTTGTAAGTAAAAAAATTTACAATAGAATTCATATGAAAAATTCCATTTTTTTGTAAAATTACATATATATAAAAATATATGCAAATTTCACACACACATAAACATATGCATAAACAGTGGAGGGCTTGAGCTGACTCATACTGACTCAAGAGATTGTTAAATAGTTATGAATTTTGTGAGCCAGTTGTTAAATAACTGGTAGCTTGAAATAGGCCATGATGGGAATTTTACATCACATAAATCAGTAAACACTGCAAATCAGGGCTTTTTTCCCCAAGAAACAGTTTATTAGCTTACACTGTAAAAATATTAATAAGAATGTACGTACAACAAAACGTTAAGAATTGTTCTCTTTAGACCTGGCCGGTTTTGCTCAGCTGTTAGAGCATCTGCCTGCAGTCCAGAGAGACTGGGGTTTGGTTCCCCCTAAGGGCATGTACCTCGGTTGCAGTTTGTCCCCGGCCCTGGTCGGTTGTGCGGGTGGCAGCCACTCGATGTGTCCCTTTCACATCAATGTTCCTTTCTCTCTCTCTCTCTCTCTCTCTCTCTCCCTCTCTCTCTTCCTCTCTCCCTCTCTCCCTCTCCCTCTCTCTCCCTCCCACTCTATCTGAACAAAAAACGAAAAAATGTCCTCGGGTGAGGATTAAAAAAAAAAAAGAATTGTTCTCTTTAGTCACTCAAATCAGAGGGTTTATTATTTCTTAATTGTGCTCATATATTTTTTGCTCTTCTGTTGTTTTTACCAACAAATGTTTTACCTAAATAATTAAATCAAGCTTAGAATTTTTAAAGACTAAACAAGAAACATCAGCACATGCTAAGAGATGAATGAATTAAATAAATATTCAGAGAAAACAATTCTCTCAATGCTGAGGAGGGGGCATTAAACAACAACTTACAAAATTGTAGGTGAAATGAAACTTCACTGTCTACTAGTGGAAATGAAAGAATGTCCCAGAATGAGCATTGAAGCCAAGGTGGATGCCCTCACAATCCAGTTTTTCCCAAGAAAAACATTTATCTTAATACAGCGTTTTACATATAGTAGGTGTTTAATAAATTTGTGAAAGGCCTTAAGACCTCCACTACTTGCTACTACTGGTTAAGAAACTGATAAGAAACAAATTTCTATTTCTTACTGAAATTCTCCAAGACTCATCCAATTACTCAAAATCTGTTTTTTGTTTTGTTTTGTTTTGCTGGAGAGGTTGTCTAAATATAGCCGTAAATAAAATATTTTCATCAAAATCATTCGAGGTAGTTTTTCAGTATTATCTAGACCAAGGATTGGCAAACATTTTCTGTAAAGTGTTTGCAATGAGTAAATATTTTAGGCTGTGCAGGTCATGGTCTCTATTGCAACTAGTCAATTGTGCCACTGCAGTGCAAAAGCTGTCATACATAGTACATAAATGAATGAGCATGGCTGTTCCAATGAAACTTTATTTACAACACAGGCAGTGCAGGGGGGGGGGATTTGTCCTGTGGGGCATAGTTTGCCAACACTTAATCAGCAGATTGATCCTTTTTTTTTTTTTTTTTTTAACTTTATCTCATTTTTAAGCACCATAGTGAGAAGAGTTCTTAGCTGAAACCATGCATAGTGGTGTCATCATGAATAACCTATGGTAACAGAAAGCCTTGAAGGTAGTTAATAAAAACACAATTCAAAATAAATACTCACCATGATTTCTTCTATGTCATATTATCTTTGTAAGACACACATGCTTGGTGAGGCTACACAAGAACCATGCTGCTTAAACAGAAAGAGCCATGTGACCTCTAAAAAGCCAGTTATATAATCTCACTGAGCCTCAATTCCTCAACTGTTAAAAAAAAACAAAGCCCTGGCCAGTGATGCTAAGTGGTTAGAGCATCAGCCCACTGTACTGAAGGGTGGAAGTTTCAATCTCTGGTACTGGTCAGGACACATGAGGGAGGCAACCAATCAATGTGTCTCTCTCACATAGATGTTTCTCTCTCTCTCTCTTCTCCCTCCTCTCCCTCCCTCCGTTACATTCTCTCTAAAAATCAACAGAAAAATATTCTCTGGTGAGGATTAACAACAATAAAAAGATAATGACAGTTAGTTCACGGGGTTTTGCAGTGGATGGAATTAAATATTATATATAAAAGCAGCTTGCAAAGAAAAAGTGCTCTTCAAATTTAGGCTATTATTATTTTAAAGTCTTTTAAAAGTTTACAGTAGAGAGAAATACTATAGTGATGTTCTATAAAATATTACTGGAACTTCTTAGCTTTTATTTTATAAACCCAGATTTTCATGTGCCATCTTTTTTCCTCATTACACCAGTAAATGAACGTGAAGGAAAATTCCTCGAACTAGTAACTCATTTATATTCATTCCTTCTCCCAATTAATTTATAAAATTAACATAATGTAAAATAATAAAGAAATTGTGTTTGTTGTTAAGAGGTATTTTCCCCCCTCTGGTTTTTCAGTATATCTATTATCATTCACCATCAGACTCCCTAAAATACAAAAATAAATTCAAGACATTATTTTGTTAATCCTCACCGGAGGAGATTTTTCCATTTATCTTCAGATGGAGTGGGAGGGAGGGCGAGATAGGGAGAGAGGGAGAAACATCATGCTAGAGAGACACATGGACTGGCTGCCTCCCACATGACCCCTACCAGGGCCTGGACCTGGGAGGAACAGCACCAAGTTGCATGCGGGCCAAAGCTCTAACCACTGAACCAAACCAGCCAAGGCTATTCTGTGTTCTTATCATTGAAACCTAGCCTTAATTAGGAAACAACCATACAAACTGCAACTTCTGTTTTAAATATAAGATTGATATAAATGAAACGTGGTGCTCTCGGTGCTTCCCTAAGAGAAAGCAGCAGCAGGGCCCAATTTGCCGAAGTTAGCCCATAATCATTATGGTATAGTATGATGCAGTTTAACTGAGTAAATGCAAAAACAGTATCTCACTTAAAAAGAATATGTGTTGGGCCACTCAGTCTGCACCCAAAAATAAATAGAGCTAACTTTTCCAAAAACAATTTCAAAATATTACTAAGTCCATCCAATAAGGAGGAAAAAGAAACACACTATGACTCGCCTTTGTACAGGGGAAATAATGTTGGTCCTATGTAAAATCGTAGAGTTAAAATAGAATCAAACAATCAACAGGAAGAACTTCCCATAACACAGTAAGTCATGCTAATACACAACATCAAATTGCTCTTTTCTCATCTGGAAGCTGAGAGGCTTGGAACTGCATCTTGTGTTTCTCAGCTCTAAGATCATGGATCCGATATCTCCTTGAAATAAATCAGTTACATTAGAATGACAGAGTGCTTGCTGACAGAAGGGGATTGTTTGTTACTTTGTTTTTATGTTTTGTTTTGTTTTTCCCTGAAAGAAGATAATGGCTCATTACTAATTTTCTGGAAATATGTCTTTTTATGGGGTTGAAACTTTTTATATAGCTAGTTATCTCTTCAAAGTACCAAACTTTTTCTTTCTTTAATAAAGTTAAAATATTTTTCTGTAAAAACTGAAAAATATAAAGAAGTATATAATAAAGGAGGAAATGATGCAATTTCTATATTTTTCAGGAGAAAAATAACATCATCTGTAACTCCACCATGCAGAAATTACCACTCTTAACCTAGTATATTTCCTTTAGCTCAGGTTTACAAGTGCCATCCTGTTTTATACATAATATATCATTACCTTTATCTTAGGTCACTCTTAGTATTTAGAAACATTTAAAATGGCAGAAATGATAGGGTGTTATCATGTACCTGGAAGACTACTTAGGTTGTGCTTTTAAACTTTGCCAATATTTCCAAACTTTCTTAATTTAAGACTGAACTACTAATAAAATGCAATACACACTCCTCTGCCTTCTTTCACAGAGTGTAGAGAACATGATCACTCTACTCTATTTCTAAGAAGTCTTGTGGACGTGGGCTAGGGTCTTATTTTCCTCATCTATAAAATGGGGACAATTATATCTAGTTCATGATGAGGATTCAATGAACTGAGGCATATAAGCACCTACCAAACAATGTAGCACAAGAACATTTGATAAATGTCAGTCCCTTTTCTCTGTCACTTTACTTAAACATCACTAGCAATGAGTTTTCTTTTCACAGATGAGGTTAAGAAATGATAAGAGGCTTGCCCAAAATCAGATCACATTGATTATACTGAGCAGGCATACAATCAGGATGCTATGGCCTACTTGAACAGGGAGGACAAACTCTCTCCTCACTAAATGGCTCCAGGTTGCAGGAGTTTTAAAATTTCTCTCACTCCTTTTCCCTCTGGCCATCTCCCTCTCCCTCTCCCCTCTTTACTTGCTCTCAAGATGTCAGTAGCAACTTCTTACTTCCGCCAACGTACCTGTTTCTCTTTTTTTCTAGAATTCTGCAACTTCTGGAAAATTTGTTCATCAACTTTGTCCTGACTGTGTGTAAACTACAAGTCCATATTCTGAGTGTCAGTTAGAATGGCTGTCACTAATATGAAGTACAAAGTTTTATTACAGGGCTCTGTAAAATCTATCTTGTTGTTTGTTTGACGTGTGTGTGTGTGTGTGTGTGTGTGTGTGTGTGTGTGTGTATTGCAGGATGGTTGTTAGGGGAGATATTTCCTGGTAGAACAGGTCCCTGGCTAGCTGAATAACTGAACTTTCTTGCAGCTGAGGTGCTTCTTTGGCCTTTCTATTTGTTCTAATTCCTCCTCTACTATCCCCTATGTCTAAAGTTCAATAATATAAATTTATTTCTAATCCAGATAGAAACCCTTGGATTTGCTTTTCCTACAGAGATGAAAGACATCAAAACAACACATATTAAACTGTCTTCATGGTCCTTGGATAAGCCAAAGTCTACTTCATTACCATGTGTTTCTCTTGCTTTGTGTTAATAAAAACTAATTTTCAGAAATATCACTTATAGTTTTTATTTCCTTTACACACTGCAAGTGTTTGTCTCCGTGGCACGTTGTGTTCCAGCTTGAAGGACAAGGTTTATAAGTAAGGGGGGGGGGTGGAAGTTCTACAACCCCGTATGTTTCCATACACAAGAAAAAAAGACTGATGTGTGGCTTCCTAAAGTTATGTATGAGAATTGAATAAATTAGTATTTGTAAAGCACTCAGTACAGTGCCTGGCACACAGTAAACTCCATATGTTTAATACATTAAATGTTCTGTTCTCGCTTTTGCTCCAATGGCGATTTAGGACACACTTATTAAGGGTTTGTCAAGACACAAGTCAATCCTGCCAGAGCCAACCTGACCTCAGAGAGACCCTAGATTTTTAGGAGGTCGAACCAATTGCCATTTTTGTCAGTCAAATTCCGTCGAATGTGGGCAATTTAATAGGCAAGAACCTAACAGGAACGCAGTACGCCCAGCCTTATTGCCACTATCCTAGGATTCTGTCGCATTCCTGAGACTGCAACGATGGGGGTGAGAAGCAAGGTGGGCCGGTGTGGGCCCGGTCCCGGGTCCCATCACCTGTCCCTCCCGGAAGGCCGCCCCTCACCTCCCCCCTGCCCCCCCCCGGGCCAGCGCGGGTTGGGGAGGTGGCCAGGGTCTTCGGCCTGGGGCCCGGGGTCCGGGTCCCGCACGCACCTGAAGAGGGGCCCGAGCTGTAGCAGGTGCAGCAGCAGCACGAGAGGCCGGTCGCGGCTGAAGTCGCGGTGCACGAAGAGGAGCGTGAGCTGCACGAGCGCGCAGGGCAGCAGCGAGAAAAGCAGCGTCAGGGACTGCCACATGCCGTCCCCGCCCGAGCGGTAAGTGCTGCTCAGGTACAGCGCCGCCATCGTCTCAGCCACGAACAGGAACACTGACGCCAGCACTGAGCCCGGGAATTTCATCTTCGCGCGTCAGCGGCGCGCACCGCTGGCAGACGCTGTGGCGGCGGCGGCGGCGGCGGCGAACCGAGGGGCTCCCGGCATGCCCGGCCTCGCCGGCTCCCGCGCTCTGCGCTGCCCGCCCAGGGCACCGGGCCGGGAGCCGGAGCTGAGCCCGGGGGCGACCTACTCGACTGCGGAGAGGCGAGGAGCGCGGCCCCGCCGGGACACGCCCACGCGCGCAGTGCGCCGCCCGCGCGCCAGAGTGCCCGCGGCGTCTCTGAGGCGACGGTCCCCAGGCAGGTCGCGAACCCGCGCCCTGCAACAACCCGCGCCTGGCTTTAAAGGCCCCCGAGGCCCTTCTGGCCCCGCGCGCAGCCGCTGGGTCCTAGAGCCCCTTGGTCGGCGTTCGTGTTTGAAACCCTTCACATCCTTTTGAAAAACTGCAACCAATGGGGCCCAGAGTTAGGATCTGAACTCTTTCCAGCCCAGTCTCTATTTTCTGGTCCTGGGGAATACATAATTCCTCAAAGGGCCTGCGTTTCCGAACATTTAAAAATAACCTGACCATACAGTTGCTTTTCAAAGTACAAGTGTATTGTCATGCACACAAGATTACCTTTTCACTGGACCAAGTAAACCTGCCCCCTCAGCCTTTCATTGCTGCTAATGATGAAAAACACCAGAGATAATCCTTAGGAGCCAACACCATCTCTCCCAGCTAAACTGCCTACAATATTTATTCCTCTATAACTGTGCCTAACTCAGGACAAAGACCAAGGCCTAATAAGGAAACGTTTTTCTAGCCTTGCTGATGTGTACCAGTCCCAAGACTTAACACAATTCCTTTCCACTCACTGATTTTGTGACAACCTTCTGGACATCAGGATGAGCTCAGCCCACCTTGCCCCTCAGTGTTTGAGCAGGCCACTAAATCTCTAAAAGTCAGGTCCTAACCTGTTCCAAGGGATTAGATTTTAATAATGACAAGGTCCTTTTTCCTGCTGAAGTGGAGTGATTCCATCAATCTGGAGTAATCTCTCAGCATTTTTTTTCTTTTGGAAAATGACCTCAACACAAATGGAATGTGAAGATGCGGTGGGAATTGAGACAAAAGTTGTAAAGGGAGAAAATATGAAGAGATTTTTTTTTTCATTCTTGTGTGGCCTGGGAAAATCTATTTTTAAGGGTTAAGGGGAGGATTCAGCCAACAGCTGAGAGATACCAGGCCCATTCTCTAAAAGGATTACTAATGTCTATTTATAGAACCCAGCCGGCCACCATGTCCTAGATCAAGATACACACACAGTCACAAATACAGAATAGGCAGCAACACTCCACAGAGTATTTTTATATTTTATTTGACACTGTCTTAAGCTTTAAAGGAAACACTGATTTGTAGCTTAGACTTATTCACTAAAGCACAATTAACATTTAGCAGTAGATTTTATTTTAAGGCAAAGGATTGTCACAGGTTTTATTTTATTAAGTAGACTGTACATAAATGGGAGTGGTGATAAGCCAATAAATAACATCACTTTAAATAGAGTCCAGTTTATGGCAAATTATTTTCTACAGTAGAAAACTAATACAGAAAACACATTTGGAAAGATCACAGTGTTTTAGTACATTGCAACAGCAGTTTTATAAAACAGTAAGGTGCATCTCTAAGTTTCTGATTCAATCCTGCTTCTAAAGAGATTACATTACACCATGCAGTGGCTGTGAGCAAAAACTCCATGTGAAGAGAAGGCAACATCAACTGACTGCAGCACTTCCCCCTCCAGGAACAACCAATAACAGAAGCTAAAATCTGATGATCATTTGCAAGTTGATCCTTGTCAGTCTGCATACCAGCTAGCTTGCCCCAGTGACCATGTCATTTGCCTTTTTGGCTTTGAGAAAAATGTATACATTCGAGTTTATGATTGCTAGTTACCCTGTCAAATACATAAATGGATTGTGACTAAAGATCATTTTGATGCCATTTATTACATTATACTTTCGTGCTAGGACTAAAATATCCATCATTTAAAAAAATATTATGCACACAATAATAGACTTATAGAAAGTGTTTTTTGGTGTAATAATATGTAACATACCAGAATACTTGAGAATTTGATTTTATTATAAAATACAGTACTACAACATTTTGTGTTATAGTAAAATATCTGATAGAATGTTCTGCTCTATATTTGGACTAACTGCTACAGATGTCTTTGAAAGCGCCTCACAGTACCTCTAAAGAAATGCAACAATTAGCAAGAGGTCATAGAACCTATTTTTGGCAAAAAGGCATTTTTGAAGAAACCTCTTGATTTGTGTGTAAGACTTTCAAAATTTTAGTTATATACTACAGATAAATGGTGTTGGATTTAATGCTAATGTAAATTAATACAATTTTAAAGTAATAATAACTAATCCTTATTTGGTATATTGTTCATAATTTTATGTTTTTAACTCTGCATTTGTGCTGAGGCAAATCTACAAAGAGTACAATTTTATAAATAATACTAATTTATTGAGCAGTTCTTCAAAATTCAAGAATACTTTAATAGTATGTATTCACTCCTAGATATAATTAAGAATAAGCAATTATATTCTATTAAAATTATTGTTTTTTATCCCCCCAAATTATTAAGGAATTGTACTAGTTTACTAGTGAATATTAAATATATCATTAGAAAGGTGAGCTCTTTTTCCTCCATGATACAATTATATTTCTGTAAGTATTGTGATTTGTGCAAAAAATCTTTTTGGTGAAGTAAATTCTATTTGTCTGGGGAAATGCACATGCTGAAACTAACATGTGGTTCTTGACTATTCCTTCATATGGCTTTGCAAAGTTTCCCCTAATCATTGGATTCTACAAAATCCATTTTTAAAATGTTTGTTAATTTAGCGCCAGTAAATTCATGAGATGAGAAATCTGACTTCCTTTACAAGTAGAATTATCACAAATGTTCAAAGCTGGGAAAGCTGATACCTTTTTAGAGAACGGGCTGCCCTTCCTTATTAGACATATTCTAAAACCAAACTTTTGCTCTTAAAATGTTCCACTCCTGCTCCTGGACAGTCTATGTAAAACTGATGATATACTTTGCATTTTCAAGAGCAAAGGAATTCTACTGCTGCTACAGTCTTTAGAAGACATCCCTAATACTGAAATACTAAAGTCCCAAAAAACAGAGACAAAATTGATCATTTAAATCAATCTTCTTACTTGAATGCATCTACATATAAAGGTTACTACAGTCAACTTGGACCAAATTCAGTAACAGAATTGATTTTTAATTGGTAACTGCCACATAAGTACAGATCGTAAACAAAACGGGCAGCATCAGAGGTCCCACAAAAACAAAGGCAAAAAGATCATTTGCTAAAGATTGACTGTTGTCAAGTATAGTCTATATCTTCTTTAAACTGACTGCTAAGTTATAGCTACTTTACACACTTTACAAAAACAGTACACGTTAAACCATTGTAAATTAACACCCCACACAAAATACAAAAAGAAAGCATCAGCAGGAACAGTATTACTTTACTTAAGAAACTGTATGCTGTGTTTACACATAGGTATACACATCCAGATGTTTCTCCCCTCATCTTTTCAGAACGTTCATAATTTCTGAAATGAGAGGAAGGTGTATATTTAGATATGTTTTGAAGATAAATGTCCACGTACAAGACATTAAAGCCATTTGCTGGTTTCAATTTAGTAGGTGGTTCCAGAACAAGAAGACATATCTTGGCTCTAGGGTGATTCTGAACACAAAGACTAAGTAGAGATAGGTTCTGAAAAGAGTGGAGAAAGAGGGGAAGACACAAAGTTTTTTTCTTATTTAGAGACACTTGTGGCAATTTCCAAAATTCTTGTCCCCTAAAGTGTAGTAAAGAATAACCTCAGGTCTCTGAGAGCAAGATTTAGTGGGTTTAATACTTGGGCTCTGACCAACTATGGTATGTTTAATGGGCCTGGGGTGGGGTGGAGTTAAAACTCCTCTGTAGAAAAAAGTAAATATTATAAGCATACCATAACCATACTGTGCCAGATTAACCATGTTTTTATAGTGCTAGCTGGGCAACATTACATTCAGGAGGTTGAACCTTACAGACACAGAACTCGCCAACCTCAAACAGGTTTCTTTACCCAGGAGAATTTTCTCAGAATCTGTGATATGCATGTAGATCTCCAAAAGGGGGTAAAAAAATATATATAACTTTCCTAACTTATTTAGTCACAGAACATGTTTTTTCCACACGGCAGCCCTTGGTACTCATATTCTGCATTTGGAGAAACACTGCCATACTCAAATAACTAGCCCTGCCCTGTCCAATACAGTAGCCAAAACACATGTGGCTCTTGAGCACTTGAAATGTGACTAGTCCAACTGGAGATGAGCAGTAAGCGTAAAATAATAATTTTATATTGATTACATGTTGTAAAGATAATATTTTGGACATACTGAGTTAAGTCAAGTACATTATTAAAATTTATTTTACCTGTTTGTCTTTACTATGTTAATGTGGCTACTAGAAAATTTTGAAAAATTACATATGTTGCTCACTTGCAGCTCTATTTGTGAAACTCACATCTGTTATCTTCTAAAGATGGCTAATGGCTTTAACCTGGCAGAAGAGGTTTTAATAAAAGTGAATGCTTAACATAGACAACCAGAAGTGTAACTAAGGCCCTCATTAATTATGTGCTAATTTATTAGAGAACATGCAACACAATGGAGGCCCATTCATTAATGAATGTGTGTTTGTATATATGCATTCACTCAGATATATCTAATAGCTAAATGTTGAGTTTTATTTCTTGTAATACTGACTCTCCCCAAGTTAGTCTCTCTCTCTCTCTCTCTCTCTTTCACACAACACACACACACACACACACACACACACACACAGAGGCATGCAAGCAATTTCCTACAGGAACAAAAAAACAAAGGGGAAACAAACAGGAAGTCCTTATAAACTGTTTTCAGTCAAGCCTTCTGTATCTTTCTCCCTCTTCTTTCTCCATATTGTACAGGGAGAAGAAAAGTACAG